AAGTGCCAAACAAGCATCAGCATGGATTCTCTATCCTCGTGCTGTCAGCCACATACTTTGATTGGCTTCACATCAGTTCAACTCAGAAGGTGGTGGACCACAGCTGGAGATGGTGTCAAGATGGATCCCGACATCTGCCTCCCACTGTTTTCTCTCACTCTCTCACTCACACACACACACACACACACAGATGCATGTCCTCTCTTCAGTGTTCCCTCGCCTCCACAGTCCCACTGAAGGTTATTTGGAGATTTGCTGCTGGAGGTGGAGCAAGAACTCATAGTACGACAGTGCCGACTCTGTTCGGTCCTCGATCATGTTCTGCATAAAGCTGGCTTTCAGTTGGCTCTCATCCCTGACAGTAGAGAATGACAAAGGATGAAGAAAAAATAAATTCAAGACATCCATTGCAATTGCTCAGTTTACCATTTCAAAGTGCTGACAATGTTTTTTTTTTTTTGTTTTTTTAATGAAAACACTGAAGCACGTTTAAACACATTATCTCTCATTTTTTGACCTCAGAATTCAGTTCCAAGAAACCTCAAAAGTCACCTCAGTTTTCAGACTGTTCAGTTGAATCAGTTGTTATACTATAAACTGATTTATTCAGCCACAACTTTCAAGGGTTTAATCAACTGCAACTGAAGGGAAGCTTAAAATGACAGATTACCTGTCAGAGGCTGAAGGACCCTACCAGCAGCTGTTGGCTGGTTTTCATTTCTCCACACAGGAAAAACCCATGCTTTACTCCACTCTTGCTACTTTTTTTGTTTCCATACACATTAGCTGCGTCCCACTTTGGGGGCTGCATCCTTTGAAGGGTGCAGTTTGAATCACAGCATCGTGAGCAGACCGTCTCATTTGGAAGGCTCCTTCGCAAGCAGCCAAAAAATGCGCCCTTCTTTTGCCGAGCAACAAAGGCTCCAACTGGTGGATCCTTTCCCAAGGTACTTTGTGTGCTGGCTGGGAGCAGAGCATCTGTCAAGACTGCTAGGTGACAGGAACCGTGTTTTGTAATGCAATGGTAAGAGCAGGAACAGCCGGTAATGTAAACAGGAAATACTCCATAAACCAGACCGTCTCATTTTGGCTCGGCCTTCACAACCTACAATGACTACGAAGGCAAGACTGCATCCTTCAAAAGATGCAGGCCCTGAACTGAGACATAGCTATTGCCTTCTGCTGCCCACCTGATAACATGTAGAGAGGGAAAGAACGGTCTCTGATCCCTCAGCCAGCCAATGAAAGCTTTTGTTCTCTGCGACTCGACGGTGTCCAGCTCTGGGAGCAGGTACTGTGAGAGAAGGGTGACAGTCGGGTGTTTATCATTAGAGTAAAGCAGCAGCTTTAGGCAAACAGATGGGACTAATACAACACCCTCAGTAAAGTTCACTGGAAAATCGGCACAGCAGCCTGCACTTCCCTACCAGGTTCTCAGGCACAGCAGCATAGTTGGGCACTCCCAGGACATGTGTGAGGAAGTTGGGGTTGCAGTTCCGTCCGATCCACAGATACATCACCTTTTAGAAAAGAACGGGGAATATATTCCACAATTAAATAGTATTGTGTAAATATTATGAGAGCTACAGTATCACCGTGAACACACCGTAATAAAGCACTTCATTATAGAGTGCTAGGTAACTGCTGACCAGTCAAAACAGATGCTTTATAAAGGAAAGATCCACCTGAAAATATTGTCAGATGTAGACTATGGGTGTATTTTGAGCTGGTTGTTTATGGAATATATTTTTGCTTTTTCCAAGGCTATGTGGTCAAAGATAAACTGGACAGTTACAGCAAAGTGCAAACAAAGAGGATTGTCATTGTTAATACCACAGTCCATCAGTAAGGCTTCGTCACAGAGCTAACACAGGGCCCCAGTGTTTAACTGACAAACATCAGAGAGCGATTTCAGCACAAGAAGTGGTCATGATAGCCCAAAATGGATTTCCATATAAAATGTGCACTGCATTTTGAGTCAAGTAGCTTTTTCTGAGCAAGAAAGATCTTGTTCTAACTATGGAATTATTACTACTCTTTACCCATACTATAACAGGTACTGATATACAAAAGCATTTTTTGGGTTGACAAAGGTCATTTTAAAAACGTAGGGAATTATTAAATCCCACAAACACAGAGGGGAGTCTCAACCTGGATTTCTCCTCAGGATTCAGGCTGGTTCACGGCACCAGCTTTGTTTTTCCTGTTAGCTCATTAGGAGGGCATATTTTAAAACATACTGTTCCAGCGTCCATGAGGAAAGCTCCTTCCCTGCTGAGCTTCTCCACAGACAGCTGCAGGACTCGGGGCTGAGGGATGGTCCGCTCATTAATGTTCAAAGCTCCCTGAAGAGGCAAGAGGAGAGAAGATTACTCAGTAAGAGAGTGATATGTAAAATACAATAACAAAAGACAACAACGAAAAAAACAACAACTTCTCAATCTAAACTGTGTTCTTTCCACATGTCAATAAACTACACAAAAATGTTTTCAGTTTACTCCAATTATATAATCTAAAGGGAAATTTCCTCACCTCATCGGTGAGATCGTCAACACGGTACAGAGCGGGGTGGATCATCAGCATGGTGTAGGCCAGCGGCTGGTACTTCAGCTGATACATGGCAAACACTCGGTCATCCAGCCTGGTGCTGGTGCCCGTCCTGAAGGCTTTCTGCATGACACACACACACAAACATGTGGCTTACAACACCTGATCCTGGAGTAGAAGCAGTTTCTTAAGCACTTGAAAAATGCTGAACAATTCTGAGTATTCTTTGTAGACTAGTAAATTATCTAAATAAGCAAAAAGGCTAAAGACTAATGCTAATTTGCCACATATTGACACTGCAGGTGGATCTAAGTGTAGGCTAGCAGAGACAGAAACACAGTCCAGCCACAGAAGTAGTAAATTAAAGTGGTAAATGTTCTTATATTTGTATAGCGCCTTTCTATGCTTTACAGCACACTCAAAGCGCTTTCACACTATTTGGCCATTCACCCATTCGCACTCCCAAACACACACACATTCACACACTGGTGACATCACCGGGAGCAACTGGGGGTACAGTGTCTTGCTCAAGGACACTTCGACATGTTGACTGGACGAGCCAGGAATCAAACCGCTAATCCTCCGGTTAGGAAATGACCCGGTCTACCTCCTGAGCCACAGCCGCCCCCAAAGTGAAACATAGAATTGTCCACATGCTGTGTTATGACTAGAACATGTGATATAATCTGACCTGTTTGAGCAGGGCAAGGATGTAGAGGGGGAAGAGCCTGAGGCAGGCCGGGGCCAGCAGGCCAGGTTGCTGGATGGTCAGCACAGACTGCCGGTACGATGACAGTGAGTCAATGGCAGCATTGGTCATCGCATCTCTGGCGTCACTCAGACTGGCTGCCATGGAACGGTCCACAGCTGGAGAGAGGGACACATTCCCAGTTGTCAGGAGGAGAGAGGACCTCAGCTCACAGATTTAACAGGTATTCTTCTCATTCATTTTTTGCAGTTCTTTAAAATGAATGAATGGTAGCCATGATGTGAAGGGTGTAGATGAGATTGCAATTTATATCATTCACACTTGGTTTAGACTGACTATACATTTGCAGTGGTAGTGTTCAGAACAGCTGACGCTTACGATGAGATCAAACTGAACGCAATGTCAACTCTTCTGTGGTGTAATCTGAATGTCTGGTCTCTGAGTGAATGTGAGCTGAGCCTGGACAGATCTGACTGCTCAGTACGAGATGGTTGCTATGCAGCCACAGCTGTCACCACTCGTGTCCATCTGTCAGTGCTAATAACAGTGAAGTGAATGACAACCCCGGAAAGATTTAGTATCAGCCAATCAAGACCATTTTCTACGACAATGGAGAAACATTTCAGAGTGATGCTTTACACAAGTGCTCTTCTAATTAAAACATTTTTTAAACTCAAGACTTGAGTCATTCATTTTTGTCAGCTCAAAATGTATTTGACAAATTCTACAACACAAGTGGCAATGTTCTACTTGAAAGTGTTACATAATGTGGTGCATACCCATGCAAGCCAGCAGCCCAGTAATGGCTTGAACGTCTGCTCCAGAGAAGATATCTGACATCGAGTTGACCACAGGGAGACATAAGGTGTGGACACGGATCCTCCTCTCTCCTGTAAAAGAAAAAACGCTTTACGATTTAAACAGAAGACCCAGGAGAAAAAAAAAATCTGTCCTTATTTTCACAATGGATTTGAAACAAAATAAAACAAAAAACAGGACGGATGTGCTGTGTGTAAATACCTTTGCTGGAGGTGTAAAGCAGCGCAGCCTGGAAAGAGACAACCTGCATGTCGTCCAGGTTCTCCTCTATGGACATCTGGACTGCAAAGCCGGCATCTGGGTTCACGTTGGGGAGGGACAACAGATCTGTGGAGCGCACAAACAGGTTTCCGTGGAAAGTGTGGATTGACAGACCTGCAGAGAGAGACAGAGAGACAAACTCAAACAAACTGGAGTGACAGTGCCAAGTGCAGAAAAAGTCCAGCTGACAAGAACTAAAAACGCATTTGCCTGGACTCTGGAGGCATTTTGTTTTCCTTAAAATAACAGAGAGATTAAACTTTAAGGTCAAATCAGGGGCAGCTTCATGTATTCAGGTAGTGTAGAAGTACTGCATAAAAATGATTTAAATATTTTTTTTATAAGAACATTTGATGAGAGCCCTCTGTGCGGACTGGCATGAAAGAAAAATATTTAGCTACTTAGTCTTAACACAGCAGACCTACATTGTTAGTATTTAAAGGGAAAACAGCCCTTTACCCAGTTTAGTTGTTCATGTCTAAAATACTGCTGCAAAAAATATAAAATAAAAACAAGGCAAGAGAAATGCTGACAAGTATTTACTCATCGGAAGTGAACAAACTTCAAACGTGCAAAAATAACTCCAGCTCTTGCGCCTACTGACCTTTGGTGCAGCGTATCCTCATGACGGCCTCGAAGCCGATCTTCCTGATTAAGTACCTCTTCAGATCCTTCTGGAAGCGCTCCACCTGAGCAGGGTTGTGCTGGTGGTGGTAGGAAGGGTAGTAGTAGACACTCCCTGCTGAGTATCTGGATATGCAGCCTGGGAGAGCAAAGGTACACAAGGGGAAAGAAGCAAAGATGAGATGCTGATTGTTGTATTTTGGACACTGCAAATCACAGATTCACACTCAATTCCTCAGCAAAATTCTTGTACAATTATTTTCCCTTGTTTCACAGAAGCAGAAAATAACCAGAAGGTAAATGTAAAGATGATCAAACGTGTAAAAACCTAAATTCTCAGAATCAGGTCTAAATATCTTGTAAACAAACATCAATAAACCCTCCCTTCCCTCTTTCCTTCTATCCTCCCTCTCACATGCATTCATTGTGGAACTCACCAAGTGATGCCAGGTCACAATACCGAGCGCTGAGGAGGAACAGGTCAACAGCCACCTGCTGGCCAGAGCAGTCCAGAGCGAGCTTCTTGTAGAAGTCTGTCGCTGGGGACAGGTGCTGAATGTCCTGTGAGGAAAACAGCTCAAAATGTCAATGTAAAGCTACTATTCTAAAGAGCTGAAGGTGAGGTGTAGGGTGAACAGATCCTACTGGGAGATATCAACACACTTCTCCCTGATGTCCTGGAGAAATTAGAGCTCCTACCTTGGCAGAGGCCCGCTGGTTGGGGTCCTCCCTGGACTGGAGTGCCCCCACGCCGAGGTTGGGCAGGTGAGTCTGAAAGACAGACATGCGGCCTCCGGTGGGAGAGAGCAGCTTGAAGGCTGCTTGCAGAGCTGAACCCAAGGCAGACTGTGTCTCCATGGTCTTCTCAAATAAATGTGGCAGGCTCTTTAGCAGATCCTCCACAAGCTGAAAAACAAACACAGTGAGTGAGTTTTATTTTGCCAACATACCACTGATCCCAGAGGGAAAACCGATATGATTTTCCTTCTGTCAACGAAGAGGTCAGAGCACAGAGTCGGGGTGACTTGGCTGCAGTGTTTAGAAGTGGCATAACATCCTTAACATACAGGCATCATCAGGGTTATTTCCCAAACATGTAAAGAATTAGAATCCACATGGCTTAATTTTATCTTTAACCAGGGTGACATTTCTTACCTCTTTGCATTCATTGAGATTTACTAGAAGGCTATCTGGTGTCGGTAAAAAGACATCTGTGAAGCACAGGAAGTTATTTAAACAAATATAATAGTCATACAAATACACAGATATTAGTAATGATGCTCGTTAAAAGAGCAGCTACCATAAAGCGAATCATTTACAAGAGCATTTGTTTGTGGTTCAAATGATAAAGGAAATAAATCATAAAAAACAGAAGACATCTTCACTTTAGATATTTGGATCGAGCTGAGTGTTAGAGAAGTTTCACTTCTGCGGTAAGTCTTCAGACAGCTTGTGTCGAGTTGATGAAATAATGAGCGTGTAGCCTTTGCTCTCGGCCACGTCATACCTTCAATGTCTGATACGATAAGCATCTGAGGCTGGGAGAGCCCCTCCTGGAGGTTGTAGAAGTGGATGGTGCTGTCGAAGGTGATGAAGCCTATCTTTGTCCTCGAGTCTCCAGGAAGCCTACGACACACACTTACATCAGCTAACATCTATACTTACCAAAGCCCAATTTCAACCTTTCATTAAGAGGTTATCCTACTTCTGTTGAATTATGTTACTTCACTTTTTGGCAATAATTAAATAATTTGTCTTTATTTCCACAGTTTCTAGCAGTAACATTTGCATTCCTGTTAATCAGCTGCTTTAGTGTTCAATTAAACATCTTCATGAACAACCTTAAATATGCTGCTTATCTGTGTGTCAGGCCCACACTGAGTTTAAAAGCAGCAATGGGAACAACAGCCCTGCTTCTTCTCCACATTGTGAATATTTGGAAATTAAATGTTGTACGTACGCACTGATGTTGTCCAGCAGTGACTGACAGAACACATTCAGGTAACCTGTCTCCACTGCATTGTGGGATACATCCAGAACAAAGAGGTAAACAGCAGGCTGTGGTGGCCTCAGCTGGATAAACAGGGCATGGACAACACAAAGACAATGTCAATATCACACAAAACATTTCTCTACAATTTGTACAGAAATATGAGCATACACATACATATATGTGTTCAGATCCTAAACGGGACCAAGGTCAGTAAAACATGTTGAAACCCACCATGTATTCCGAAGGAGCGATGAACTCAATAGTGGCATTCTGGACCTCGGGCCTTTTGTGAGGCTCTCCGTACGACCTGCTGACTGGGTTGTACATAAACTCCTCTGGAACTACAAACAGACACATACACAGTGAGGTTTTACAGTTATAATAATGCATGTGTAGTGTCTATGTACTCTGTGTGTGATTTAATTCTCATGATGATTGTAAAGAAAAGAAGGGAGGCAAAGACAAAAACAATTATTTAAGACTACAGACAAAGGTGGAAACACATTGGGGTCATGGAAAATCTCATACATGCAAACTTATCTAATGGAAAAAGAAGTGTATCCACATCAAATGCATCCCTTTATGAGCTGTATTACTGATCTATAATCCTTATACATATTCACGAAAATATATAATAATATAACAACGAAGACTACTTTCTTCTTCCTTAATATGTTTGAGGAGTCTGTGAGATTAAAATCTTTTCAAGAGAGACCTGGCCAAAAGAGCAGCATAAGAACACAATAAATGCAAAATGGACATAAACAAGCTTCATGCACTGCAAAGGAGAATCGATAAGAGGTAGGTATTACCTAAGATCTTATCTAAAGTATCTAAAGCAAAGTAAAACAATGAATCAGAAACAAAAGCACTGACTAAGAGTGGCATTTGGATGACTTTAAATGAATTTGAATTCGAATTCATGTCTCTCCTTTATCACCTCCTCCCTTTCTTACCATCATTGATCCGATAGCACAGGTTGCACTTCCATCTCCTCTGGTCCAGGAAAGACACAAAGGGGTTGATGTAGGTTCTGCACGACCGACACCTGACAATAGTGCTGGATGTCACCACAGGAAGTTGCTGCAAGAATGAAACCACAGAATGACAAAACAACTGCTGTGTGAGAAGTGCTTCCAGGCAAAGTCAGTTTCAGCTCATTGTAACTGGCATTTCAATAAAGATGTTGTTGTCCAATGTCTGTGCTGTCTCTCCTCAGTTACCACTGGAGCAAACACCAATTCATTCTGACACATTTTACCCAGAGGTGTATTTAGACAAAGCTTACGCGGGGGTGGGGGGCGTCGGGAAGTGTTGAGGATTCTGTGTTTAATCGGTACTTGTCTGATGTCATTATTTGACCTAAACCTAAGAAACAATATTAGGAGAAAGACTGTAGAGCAGGGGTGTCAAACTCAATCGCACAGGGGGCCAAAACTCAAAGCACACTTTAGGTCGCAGGCCTAAATAAACATTTATTTAACAGACTAAAACTAAATGTTTTTGAACATAAATATGAATCGAAACAGACAGGATACAATATTATTCCAAAATAAATAAACTTAAACTTAAAACCAGCCACCGTATTTCTGCTAAGCCTTACATTTGCGCTTTGGTGAAAACGTCTGCTGTGATGTCAGATTCCTCTTCAACTCCTCTACCTTCTGTAGCTTCTGCTCTGCATTCACGTTTTTCAGCGTGTCCTGATGTTTTGTCTTGTAGTGCCGTCTTAGGTTATATTCCTTAATTACAGCCACATTAGCTCCACAAATAAGACACACGGGTTTACCGGCAATGACAGTAAACGTATACTCACCCTCCCAACGGTTTTGAAAGGCTCTGTTTTCAGAATCAGCTTTTCTCTTGGCCATTGTTGGGAGCTATCTTTGACTTGAAATTAGGGTTGTATACATCAACAGACGCTTGATTGATCTGACATAATTGATGCAGGAAAGATTGCAGGTAGCCTATCATTCGGTAAGGCATCTGTTGCGCTGCATTATGGGATTTGTAGTTTGTGTGTTATCGGTGCTTCATATCGCCGGGTCATTAAAAAAAGATATATAAAATGATCTCGCAGGCTGGATGTGGCTCGCGGGCCTTGAGTTTGACACATGTACTGTAGAGGATTTCTAGACTTGAGTTTTGCTGGGCGCACACACTTATTTTACCTAGCACCTCTTTCCATCATGTTAATGCACTAAAACAAATGCAGATCCACACCTCGATGGCTTTCCTGTATTTAAAAAGTGAAGCAGCGGTGATCACTTCCATGTGGAAACATTGCTCTGGGGTGCATTGCTTACATACAGCTGCCCTTACCCCATATTAGTAAACCAGGTTGCAGGCTTACATGAAATATAAAGAGCCCTCGAGAACAATATTGTTTAAGTTCATGACAGATGTGCATGGATATTAAACTGAGGTGTTACCGAGAGGTCTTTAAAGGGGTGGAGCAGCAGGCCCATTGGCAGTTTGGCTTTATTGAGCAGAGACTGGGTCTGAGGGATGCTGGTCAGTGTACAACGAAAAACCCTGGAGACAAACAAGCACAGAAATTAGGAAAACTGCCAGCAGAGATCCTGTTGTCTCTGGTATTTCATGTGCAGACTACTGGATTAAGTTAATGGATGAGCACCTAATTGATCATCTGGGGGCTTCATCTAAATGAAAACCCCCCTCTGCTATGCTTTATACATTCAATCTTAGAAGAATTTCACCAAGAAACTCAGAGAGCAACATCTCCAGGGACAAATAAATGCTTTTGCTGATCTACTGTCAGTGTGTAAAGTAGCACAGATGGCAACCTGAACACAGGCACCATTTGGTTCATCACTGCAACATGCAAAATGTCCTTTAGGTGCATTTATAGGGCCTTCTTTTAAAGTATAATAACATAGTCAAATGATATACATTAAACATAGACACTTGCTATCTGCGTTAGGCCACCATAGCTTACTCTGGGTTGCAGTTAACCTTCTGTATGTCCTGGGGCAGGCAGGGTGTTGGGGCAGGGACTGTTCCTGGAGGCAGCAGGTTCCTCTCCTGCAGTAAGTTGACCACTCTCAGAGCCTCTGGGGTGCTGGACTGGAGGCTCATGGCAGCCCACACGGGCTCAGCTGGGCTGGTCCTGGGCCACCCAGTGGCTGAGAAAAGGGAAAACAACAAGATGTTCAGTCAATTTACCAAAACCTTATGACAGCCAAATCCATTCATCACGGATGGCCACCCCTGCTTTGATCAGCTGATATAGATATCTGCTGATATTCACTGCCTCCAAATCTGACCATGACAAAAAAAACAAACAGATTCATTTAGTAATCACCTCTATATTGCCAAGGCACAGCCAAAAACTGTATGACAATAATGCACGTTAGCTGTGCAATCGTTTGACCAATGTTGAAAAGGTGTCTCTGACCACGGTGCTTACAACTGAACAGAATGTGACAAACCATTATATAAACAACTGAGGTGCTTACAACTGAACAGAATGTGACATATTATATAAACAACTGGAAAATGCAGAGTGCTGCGCTTCAGACTAAGCCAATGCCAGAGCGGCATACTGCTGAGAACTTGGCTGCGCAACACTGGGGACTTACAGGTAAAGTCACAGCATGCGCACGACAACACTAGTGCAATATGGTGCTATTAAAGGGATGAAACCGACTACCATCTATTATGTAACAAAAAAAAAGAATCAACAAACATCAGCAAACCAGCAGTTATTTGCTGGCATAAGCTTAAAAAACTGTTTAGGTGTTTTATTATTCTAAACAATAAAAGTATATCATGTAAATGACTCAAACTACATGTATTTTCCTTCACAGTGTAAAATGAACTGCTCTTGTTTTGTTAGCTCTGTTTCTACAAATACAAAGATGTTATTTCAGAACCAGCTTAAAATTTTCCATATAGCCTACACAGACAGAAAGGTTTTATATGTGCACCAGGTAAAAACAAATGCATGACAGGAGGTGCACGGATCCACTACCAAAAAGAACATGCAAACAAGCAGTGCATGCAAAACGCTCTAACAGTACAAAGCCAGCCTGGGGCTGGACCTCCCCTCTCACCTGCTGGTATGGCTGAGATGCTCGAGTATAAGGTTGTGTGGTGGCTTGCATCGCAGGGTGCATGGGTGAGGTGCCACTGTGGGGAGCTGTGGTGCTCTGGTACCCGGGGGGGAGGGAGGGGTAATGACCCAAATGCCGCCCAGGTGGTCCAGGCTGGGGCAGACCAGCTGTGGAAGAAAACCAAAATAAGTTTAGTTTACATATTACTACACACATCCTTTAAACCTAAAACAATTAGAGATTTATAAATGATTACAGCACACAAGAGCTGACAGACACTGTTGTGCTTCAGGGGAGTTTATTCATTGATTAGCTGTTTATGTTTTGTTACGGTTAGAAATTGTCCAAGGCCTGACAACTACACTATAGCTGCATTTTTTTTTAAACACTATCTTTGGACATGGACATAAATATGTCTGTTTTTGTTTCATGTTATTTTAAAAATGGCTTACAAAAAAGCCTTACCCATTTTATTGTCAACATGATTATAGCTGTTTGATGCTTGTGGGCCATTGCCAGCCACAGTTCCTGTTTCAAAGCAAACACAGACATGAATAATTTTAGTGACACTATCACTATATATCTGTCCCAATATGTTAACTGCAGACGATGAATAAGTAAAGAAATGAACTACAGTTCAAAACATATACAAGATGGACACAGAGAAACAAAATACTAAAGGTGATGCTGGAAATGGATGCAGGGTGTTTTAAGGAAACATTTGTACTTTGGTGCTTGTAAGATCTTTATTCAGAGGTCATATGGGAGATAAAGTGAGACTGGGTTACAGAGAGACAAACTACCAGCAAGAATGTGACACCAGGGATGCACTGATGCTAGAACACTGGGCTACAGCAGCATGGAGACCCAGCTGATCCAGCAGAGCTTGATATGTGGTATCAACAATGAATGAGTGCATCCCTGGACACATGAACAACAGTGCGGAGAGGACAGGATGGGCACCACGGCACTGACACAACATCTAACAGCTACTGCCACATTTATCCACACCTGGACATTCAACATCCCCCTCCTGGCAGTCGGGCTCAGTGGGGGACAGAATGCTGTTAACAGCTGTCCCACACGGAGCTGCACGTGAAGGGAAGCGGGGGGGGCAGAGGGAAACAACAGAAGGTGATCAGAACAAAAATGTCTGAAAAGGTTTCGGTCCCATACTGACACAATGTCATGGTCATCACAGGCAGCGTTCTCACCTAGCACAGATGGGTTGTACTTTATACAGTGGTGTGAAAAAGTGTTTGCCCCCTTACTGATTTCTTATCTTTTTGCATGTTTGTCACACTGTAATGTTTCAGATCGTCAAACAAATTTATATATTAGTCAAAGATAACACAAGTAAACACATCATGCAGTTTTTAAATGAAGGTTTTTATTATTAAGGGAAAACAAAATCCAAAACTATAGAGCCCTGTGTGAACAAGTGTTTGCCCCCCTGTCAAAACACTGGTTTATCGCACCTGAGTTCAATTTCTCTTGCCACACCTGTTCGCAATCAAGAAATCACTTAAATAGGACCTGCCTGACAAAGTGAAGTAGACCAAAAGATCCTCAAAAGCTAGACATCATGCCGAGATCCAAAGAAATTCAAAAACAAATGAGAAAGAGAATAATGGAGCTCTATCAGTCCGGAAAAGGTTATAAAGCCATTTCTAAAGCTTGGGGACTGCAGCGAACCACAGTGAGAGCCATTATCCACAAATGGCGAAAACATGGAACAGTGGAGAACCTTCCCAGGAGTGGCCAGCCGACCAAAATTACCCCAAGAGCGCAGCGACAACTCATCCAAGAGGTCACAAAAGACCCCACAACAACATCAAAAGAACTGCAGGCCTCACTTGCCTCAGTTAAGGTGAGTGTTCATGACTCCACCATAAGAAAGAGACTGGGCAAAAATGGTTTGCATGGCAGAGTTCCAAGATGAAAACCACTGCTGAGCCAAAAGAACATAAAGGGCCGTCTCAGTTTTGCCAGAAAACATCTTGATGATCCCCAAGACTTTTGGGATAATACTCTGTGGACAGACGAGACAAAAGTTGAACTTTTTGGAAGGTGTGTGTCCCATTATGTGTGGCGTAAAAGTAACACCGCATTTCAGAAAAAGAACATCATACCAACAGTAAAATATGGTGGTGGTAGTGTGATGGTCTGGGGCTGTTTTGCTGCTTCAGGCCCTGGAAGACTTGCTGTGATAAATGGAACCCTGAATTCTGCTGTGTACCAAAATATCCTGAAGGAGAATGTCCGGCCATCCGTTTGTGACCTCAAGCTGAAGCGAACTTGGGTTCTGCAGCAGGACAATGATCCAAAGCACACCAGCAAGTCCACTTCTGAATGGCTGAAGAAAAACAAAATGAAGACTTTGGAGTGGCCTAGTCAAAGTCCTGACCTGAATCCAATTGAGATGCTGTGGCATGACCTTAAAAAGGCAGTTCATGCCCGAAAACCCTCCAATGTGGCTGGCTTACAACAATTCTGCAAAGATGAGTGGGCCAAAATTCCTCCACAGCGCTGTGGCAGACTCATGGCAAGTTATCGAAAACGCTTGATTGCAGTTGTTGCTGCTAAGGGTGGCCCAACCAGTTATTCGGTTTAGGGGGCAAACACTTATTCACACAGAGCTTTGTAGTTTTGGATTTTGTTTTCCCTTAATAATAAAAACCTTCATTTAAAAACTGCATGATGTGTTTACTTGTGTTATCTTTGACTAATATATAAATTTGTTTGACGATCTGAAACATTACAGTGTGACAAACATGCAAAAAGATAAGAAATCAGTAAGGGGGCAAACACTTTTTCACACCACTGTATGTCCCTTAAACGTCACATAATAATCATTCACTGTGGGAACAGACTGAGTCTGACATGTCAGCAAACTTGCTAACCTGCTAAAACTTACCAGCATCTGCTCATCTGCAATAACTCTGAAATACTAACTCTACTTATTCAATTTCATGGAAAACTGTCTCCGTTCACATTTTTATTACACAAACTTGCTTCAAACACTTACAAAATAAATGGCCAGTCTGGGCTTGCTGAGCTCATAACAAACCACTGGCAACTTTTAGACCAAACTGGTTGTTGTAAGATACAATACACAAAGTCGCTCAACAAATATGAATTGGTTGTTATAAACAAGGACAACACACAGCTAAGTGTGCCAACATTTTCAGAGCCCTAAACTTACCATCTGCTTTAGGGGGTGGAGGTGTAACATTGGCCATTGGGGGTCCAGTTGGAGGTGGTGTGGGTTTTATGGCTGGAGGTGGGCCTGTAGGTGGGGGCCCATAGGGAACTCTGCTTGGTTGGTATGTGTGAGGAGCCATGGGATTCACTGGTGGAGGTGCAGTGCCTGGTGATAGACCAACAACAGTAAATCTTGTACAGATACATTTTGATTCTTCTCCTTTAGTATATGAAGTGCCAGAAAGTATAACTTCTAAGACTAATAACAATTATACAAAAAACAATAACTTCGGGGGCTAGATTAGACTGAGAAGAGGGTGCATGATAATGACTAAAATAACTACTAATCATTGGGCCTGGTGCATTTTTGCATTTTATTTCAGCACTGTGACATTTTACATTTATCCTAATGAAAAATGTTGTGACTGGTAATACTGTAGACTTGAACATACAGAAGTGACTACAGTGCCTGGCGCTGAAATGCGTAACATTTTAGAGCAAGAAAGCAGTTAATATATCTCCACTAAAGACATCATGAATTCTCCAGAGACCAGCCACTTGCACTGTCACCATTAAACTGGGTAAATTTATCCTGAAGGTACTGCTGAGGGAAAGGTCATTAAAATCAAGTGGTCTCTTCTTTTTGGGAGTCAGAATGTGAACAGGAATTCCCAAGCCAATGCGACCAAATGGTGCAAGTTGGGGGGGGTTAATAAAAGAATCAAGGTTAATTTAAACAACATTCTGACAAGTCCGTCGGACACATTGGCCACAGATAATACAATCAGCTTGTCACACTCGTATCACTGAACCAGGGAAAATGTTAAAGGTACTGAGATTCCCTCTGACTGGTCTTTTGCTTTTGACACTGTGAGCCGACCATCTCTGTGGAGACAACCCTTAAACTCCTACTCGTACTACTGCTACCTGAATTGATCACGTCATAAGAGCACAGGCGAGAGTGTTGTGTGCATCTGCTAATATAATCATTTTAGCAACACAGCCCGCACAAAAAGCTGAAAATGAAATTTGTCCTAAGAGCCACGTCACATCACTACAGAAGAATCACACTGGAAACAATAAAAGTCTTATTTGAACTTTGAACAAATTGAGGGTAAATGAGTCTATGTGCGTGGGACAGCGGCCAGACAACACGTTGTGTAGGAGCAGAGGGCAATGTCCAGCTCCAACATATCAGCATTCTAGATATATCTACAGCACAAATGAACAAAGAATGACAACAAAAAGACATAAGAAGCAAGAACCATGCTGTAACAAAGTTAGACATGAGTTAGACAAAGTGGGACATGAAAATACTTATTGATGGGACCGGAGATTAATTGGCTAAAGTTTACTAATCTGATTTTATTGAAACTTGAGAGAATGATTAATCTTTTTACTGATCTGACCTGAGGAGTGCCTGCATCATTAGTGCATTTGCTACAACTGTCAGTTGGGGCCACCACGTAATTATGTCATTCTTCATTTGAAACTTAAACTGTACTGTGCACTGGATTGTACAGTGACTGTTGTAGGTGGAGCCTTTGTGTTCCTACCTGGCTGGGTGTATGCATGCAAAGATGTGGGGGGCATCCCTGGGACTAAGGGCTGGGTGGTGCTCTGGGACACAGGAGCCGGTGGTGCAGAGCTGTAAGCTGCCGATGACAGTGGCAGCGGCGGTGCTGTTGAACTCGCAGCTGGGTTCACATGATTCGCCGCAGGGCTGGAGGGAGGCATGTTCATGGAGGTGGATGGCCCCACTGGTGGGTGAGGTGTACTGTACTGCCATGCTGGAGCTAGGGGCTGCGGCTGCTGAAGGTTTGAGTAGTAGCTACTAGAAGACACAGGAGCAGGAGGTGTAGCCTGTGCAGGAGGCAGCCTAGGATGGGGGATGGGGCTGGCAGACTGAGGAGGGGTATGGGATGGAGGGCCTCTTATTAGAGGCCTGTTCACCAGTGGCTGGCCTGCTGGAGCTGGGTAGGGGGTGAGTGGCTGGTAGTAGCTGACTGAGGGGAGAGGCTGGTATGCTCCAGAGGGGTAGAGTCCAGGACCAGGGGGTGGGGGAGCTTTGGCCTGCACTGGACTGTACCCTGGTTGGTTAGACATGCCATAGCTGACCCCTGGCAGCTGCTGCAGGGCAACTGGATTCTGTGATGGACCTGGAGACCAGAGGAAGGAAAACAGAGGCATGTTAGAGAATCCAGAGGTGAACCCCAAGTGTCATAACTGCATCCACAGTTCCCTCACTCGAGTCTTTTCCTTGTATCGTAGTCTTGCCCATGCAAAAAATGTGAGAAGAGGAACTGAGTAAACACGTTTCCAGAGACATGAGACGTCCTTTTCTTTTATGCTTCTTCTGAATAAATTTCAGTAAAGGTTCATGCCAGTCCATAAAAAACATCCGTGAAGGATGTCTCCTCCCTTGCTCATAGCTCCGTCAGCAGCCTCCTGGCTCCTCAGAACAGGAATAAGACCTCTGGGACGCCCTCAATCATTCCTCGCTCGACCAGAAAAACTGCCAGGTTGAGCAAGGAACAAACAAATAAGGGAACTGGGATAGAAATAGCAGACTGAACGAATTGAACATTCGGCTTTCTTTCAAACTACTTTCCAGCAATATGGGTGAAATGCTGAGGGGAAAAAGGATGGTGCACTCTCTCATTTACCAGATACCAAGGTTTGCAGCTCTCTAGGTTCCAGTCATGCTTGACCAGAACCATTATGGAGCAATTCTGTAAGGCAGCCTTTTGTTCAAAAGCTTCAAAGCTGAGCCATTAGCATCCCAGACAGATCAAGCCAGCAATGTTAAAAGGCTCTGGGTCTGAAAATGACCTTTTGAGAATCAAGTATTTTTTAACTCAAGCAAAAGCACACCATTGGCTTTAAATCCAATGTAGAGTTCAAAATGGCAGATGACAGACATATGCCTAACTAATGATAGAGACGATACCAGGTGAAAAGCACTCAGAGCCACCAAATGACCAATGAACTGACAACCAATGGTCTAATCTCTTCACCTGGATAACTCACAATGCTCTGCCCTGAAAGACTTTACTTTAGTGAGGTAGTAAATTACCTCAGACATTTCTGGACAATTAAAAACAATCTGATTGCATATCAGGCAGATATCACACTAAAATGTGGCAATTGTTTCTGTTTCCCAAATAACAAGAACAATTGTGTCATATGTAGTAGATAATGCAACAGCTTGCCAACAACAAACACAGTGGCAGTCCTTATCAATGAATGCATTAACAAAAGAACAATCTAGCTAGTATGGATGAAGTGTACTGCTGTTTGCACCCTAAAGAGATTCATTCCACTTAGTTCTTCACTACACAACTGGAAGCAGAGCTAAATCAGCAGAGTGAGAAAGGATTGGAAAACAGCTCTTCTTAATGAACAAAGATAGCTGAAGGTGCATAATCCACCTCAAATCTTTGTTCTGCCCCAGAGCAGGGACATTTTAAGAACAAAAGCCCCTAGTAGGTTACAGCTCATGACCAATCAGAAAGAGCAAGAGTTTACAGCTCATGACCAATCAGAAAGAGCCAGAGTCCTCTCAGCCAATCACAAATCAACTCACTGAAAGGCAGAACACAGGTGAGAATTGAGGGAGTAAAAGCACAACACAAACAGGTTTTGGAGGTCATTTTACTATTAAAGTCATATTTAAGGACTGACTGCAATAAATGTTTGAAATGATGAGCATTTGATAATGTAAACTTTCCAAGAATGCTGGAGAAATTTAATTCCAACCCTAAAACCAATAATTCCTGTTCAAATATGACAGCTTATCAGCATTAGTAGTATGACAGGTATCAGTAAACCTGTCGGTATTCTTCTACTGCTAAATGCCTATGACCAAAAGATATAGAAGGACAGTGGAGATTGAAATCTTTAACTTGATGAATTCTATCAAGACAACCAAATAAGTATTTACTAACGCAGTCATTGGTCCAAGTACTATTTTATGGTCAGCTGCTACATGTGACATGTAGAAACATGGTGTTGAAATATATAAATGACATACACACCAGTCACTTACTTATAACAGACCACAAACATTTTAATTCATATTAAAAATATCCCATAATAAGAGCATTGCTCAGCCCACTCAGCTTTAGTGATATGTTTTCATGTTCTGTTTCTATTGTCGGAAAAAAAACCTTTTTTTTTCAGACTGATCAGAGCTCAAAGATCTGAGCTGATTTATCAGCCTTTATTGACCCATGTCATTCAAGGGAGATTTGGATAAGAATGGGGGGGAATGTAATGAACAATCAGAAGTTCAAAAACATTCTTATCTACAAATTTAGAAAACCAATTACAAACTGGAGCTGTGATTGCTTCAACTGCACAGAACAAGAGAGCTCCTTCACCTTCTTTTTGTCAGCTGTCACTGAGTGTCTTTAGATTGTTTTTCCCTCTGCATTCATGGGAACCAAGTAGAAATGTGTGAGTAATCTAAAACTCAAGTTGGTAATTGAGTGAGCCTAGAGAACGTTCTGCAGAACTGCATCTGGATCAACACCAACGTGCCACATGTACAGTACAACGTAGAAGGCAAACAGAGCCTGCTAAAACTCCATCGTGCACAACTGCAATGGAACTAATAAACCAACGAATGAATTATTCTCTACACTGGAAAAATCCTCAGGAGACAGAAGGGAAAAGACAAGTCACAGGCCAGCTCGTTCGGTGTTTTAATATGACAGGAAAGATCTGGCTAGCCGATTAGCTTGACAGGATATGAATGAGCCTATGTTGACAGCGTGATCACATAATCACTTTTATGTTTGAGAAAAGATGGAGCATCCCAACACTTTGCATAAAATACGTGTTTGTGTGCCATCTCGACAGACCAAAAGTTAACTTAGCACACACTGATTAAATGTAGTTAGCTGGATAGTTATAGTCAGTGTATCTTAACGACAGCAACTATTTTTGTCATCTTAATCAATACAGGTCGAGATTAAACGCAGTTATCCAGTAGTACCTATATCTGGCAGCTCTCCTTTGCCAGGCTATCCTAAGTTACAGTATTATTGACATTAAGCAAATCATTTAGCTAACGGTTAGCAAATAGCCCAGATCCAAAAACTGCCGCTAGCGTTAGCTTTGGTCTACTTTGCCTCGAAGTAAGTTTACTTAAATTGAAATGTTACTCACCATTCGCATATACCTGTGCCGTCCCTGTCCCATTTTGGGGATTAAATCCCGCAGTTGACATGTTGAAACAGACACCAGTATCTAATTTTGAGGTGCTTGGCTGGCGAAAAACTAGCTGCGTCTTTAGCTAGCTAGCTGTCGAAGGGTAACGTTTAACCTGTGGCTCTGACGATGTTGTGTCTAGTCAAACCAGCGTCTACGGCGACGTCTCCCAGTTTCTTGAAAAGTGAATTAGCTGACTTGTAGGCGATCACAGGGTCATGGCTATTACCGAAACCCCGTTCATCTGCCCACGAGTGAGAAACGTTAGGCCTTGTCAGAGTAATCGAGTGAGACACTTCTCCGATTTCGCCGGAAGTTGGGATCACCCAAAAGGATCAACGTAAAAATTGTCGGGCATGCGCAGTGTGTACACGTGGCATTTCCTCCCGTGCTCTTGATTTTCCAGCGTACTGGAAACATGAGAAGATCGTTTATTTTCACGTTTGAGTTTCCCATTTAATGTACAACCACTGCCATTATAAGCATTTCCCTATTTAGCAGGATGCGGCGGAATCGACAAAATATCCACTTATGTTTATATAGATTTTAAACAATTGCCAAAATAAAAGCCACCTACAAAAGATGTAACATTTAAATCCCCGGCAAGATACCTTTTCACCACTTAAGCTAACAAGTTGAGGTGATCGTTTTTGTATTTTTCCTATATTTATACCAGTCGCATGCATAAAAAGTCCAGTTAAATATGTGCATAGGTGTTGTAAAAATAAAATAACAATACAGAACATTAGATCCTCTGTTTATTTCGGCTCTTCTGCCGGAAAGATGATTATGAAACATAAACAGGAAGCAGCTGGGCAGAGTTTGGGGAGTTGTTGGACAGCCATTGCAGTGTCGTGGCTTAGTAAGAAAATACGAAAAAGGAGAGGACGACCTGGCATTTCAGGATCTCTTTTTTGACCGGTAAACCAAGTTACATGACTATAAGCGCGAATACACTCTGTAAATTAATCTGCGCCTAATAACGGGTAAGTATTTAGATATATTCTCTCTCCGCTGATCCTAAAACAATCTAAAGTGAACGTTCGGCATCTTGGCTAGTTAGTTAATTATTCCGGCTGCTAGCGATGCTAGGGTAGCATTGCTGACACCAAGTTGACCAACTAACTCGCTTATTATGAAAGATCTTCGAGCTGGATATAAATTAAAGTTCACTAACTGTTATATTAAACATACACATTTGTTGCTGGAAGGAAAATACCCGTACTCTCGCATAACACTGTTGTTAGTACATCGGCGTAGTGTTTGTCAAGCTAACTGCTAATTAGCTAACGTAGCCAAAAAACCTTCAATGCAACGTCGTCTGTTACAGAGTATGACACGTAGCTGGTGGCTTCCTGCTACCCGGCCTCGGTCAGTCTTTTAAAAACCATACTTAACGTATGTGTTTAACTTTTATATGACTTGTTGTTTTTCCGATATGTTGGGCTTTTAAGTTTTTGTCTTCATAACGCGGGACCAGTCGGAGGCAAATCATCGATGTAATGTTAGCCGTTAACGTAGCGGTAAAGGTTAGCTAACTTTGCCGCTACGTTGACTGGTTGTGATAACAGTTTCGGTTGCGTCTTGCACTGATCATCTTAATTTGTGAGCTAAGACAAATGCAAACTGTTATGTTTGCATAAGTAACGTATTTATGTTCAGGTTTCTTATTATCATGATGTAAGGAAACTAACAGTTGTTCTTCAGACACTGTAGATGTTCAGAAGGTGGCTTGTGCTAAGGGCAAACTGTGTAGCTTGATGGTTTGTAAGTACAGTCCTGTTCAGTTATAAACACTGCAAGTAATGGCGTGTCTAGCTTTGAGGACATTTACAGGCCAATTCATCTAATCCTAACTGTGCAACACATCGGTTATTATGCTTGGTGATCAGTTTACACATTTTGTCTGAACACAACAATCCTATATCCCTTGAAAAAGGTTAAGGCTGCTGCCTTAAGGCAAATATTTTCATTATCGCATGCTTCTTCCCCCCCATATATTGGTCCATATGTCCCAGACTGTTTAACATTCACAGCTGCATCATGCCACACGTGGAAGCATCAGACTGTAATGTGAATGCATGCAGTCTAAGAAACTATTGGGGGCTGGCATGGGGGTATATGGGACCAGAGTGCAGCAGCAACTGATGTGTAATTCAGCTATATTTGCATGATCTTGACCTTTGGCTACCTTATACTTTAGCCCTGGAGTTGTTTGATGGTTATGTAAGTAGGGCTGGAGGTCAGCACCAGCTTCTGTAACTGTCACAGATAAATCAGTAAGAATTGAGTTGAAGTGGAAATGCATAGTGTTTGTGCATCTAATGTAGCAAACAACATGGTTTCACTGGAAAAAACAGTTTGCTGTAAGCGAAGAGGAAGTGTGTTCTTTCTGTGCCTTAATTCTGATATGTTTGTTCACATCTCGTAAGCAAAATGAATCTGCTGTTAACTAGAATGATGAACAAAATGAGATATTTTTTTTAATGCAGAAGCAACAAGCTGTTGCATGTAGTCAGTCAGGGAGCTGTTGATTTCATGCTCTATGCCATATTGATTAAATGCAACCTCGCTAGTTTATCTTGAAATGCTACAGCTATGACTCATTTTTGATTTGTGTTCTCTCCATCTCTTGATGTTTTCAGGTACTTTCCAGGTCTGCAGTATAAATATTAGGCCACAATTTAGTCCTATAGCATGTCACTGACAGTCTATGTACCAAAATAAATACAATGTAACAAATAATGGACAGTAATCAGAGGGAAAGTAATGGGAAAAGACAAACCTTAAACAACTTGTATCTTGCCTCAGTCTTGCTCACCTGCTATGTGATACTCATGACAACACAGCTACACTAACACGATCCAGTTCTTGTTTCTTGTTCTGTGTGTTCATGTCTTCTTAATGTCATTTTCCCCCCACTTTGTTGTTTTTCAGGATTCAACAGCTCCGGATATGTCATTCATATTTGATTGGGTTTACAGCAGTTTCAATAGCGTACTACAGTTTTTAGGTGAGTAATGGTGATCAGATGCACTAATTCATAGTAAACCTGAATTCACTGTTGAAAGCTTTTTAAAGATGATTCCAAACAGCTGTGACTAATCTAGTGTAAACTACACAGTTTGTGTGTTGAGTAGAATGATGAAAAGAGTTGATCCTTTGAGAAGATTAAACATGAGTATAATCTGATTGTCTTTAGTGATCACAGAAAGAATTTTAATTGTTACAACTGCTGGTTTGTCTTACACTACAGTTCTCAAGTGTGCAGTGAAAAGCAGAGCTAGGATTATTGTGCACAATAGCAGGCTTTGTTTCTAGAAATCCATCCCTGCTGTGGTTGAAGCTGAGTGGAAGAAGTAGAGTTTCTATAAAAGTGTTTGGTTACCTTGTTCCCAC